TTTTTTTGTTTTCAAATTTGACCAATATTAACTCTCATTAAATTGATATGTTGTAATAAAGTCTATTACGGAATATCATTCACGATTTAGGAGAATTAGAAGCAGGTTTAGAAAGGTTAACTTTCTCTAAATGATTATTCTTTGAGAAAATATTATCTTTGCTTTGAAAAAAAAAGGAAGAATATATTTTAATATTAATCGAGTTTTTTCGATTATTATATTTTTAAAGTTCTACTCTTAAAAATATAATAAAAAGAAACAAGAGCAACTCATTTTTGACATGTCGGTATTCAGAGAAGACATTTATACTAATATAATCCTAAAAGAATTTCAATTCTTAAATCTTAAATCTTAAATATTCTCTATAGACTTACAAGAAGTTTGTGGAATTTTTATCATTGAACGAGATATTTAAAAAAGTTTAAAAGAAAACATTTTTGATCAGAAATATTATCTATGAATAAATTGATGATTTTAAAAATATTCTAAAAATATAAATGATGATGATTCCTTTCTTCTTCAACTATAAGATAATAAAAACAACTAACAATTCTTATTATTGAATTCAATTCAAATTATTCTACTGTAGAACTCTTATCTATATGTTTAAAATATGAATTTAAACTTGATAAATAAGTTCGGTTAATTCTTTCATTAGTTTAATCTAGTTTACATTCTAGAAAAATATGATTATAATAATAAAATGTCTTATCATTTGTATAAAAATAAAAGAAAATTTTTTAAGACGAAGATTTTATTAATCTAAAACAAAAAATAGAACATATCTACAATCAATGATTAATTTATTGAAGTAGCGAAATAAATATTTCGTCTGTTTTGTTTTTTTAATAAAGATCGAATATAAATTAAAAATCGAAGACAAAATTCGTTATTTTGTTGTTTTTATCCATTCTCGAAACAAATAAATATTTCATTGTATATCATTAAAAAGCACCACTGAAAAAAAACAAAAGAAAATGATCTGGTATATTTATATGACTAGATTAATCTTGGCGTTGAAGGTTATAATATGAAGATTGATTTGGTGGATAAGGTACAGTAAATCTTCGAACAACTGGCGGAGTAAAATCTTTTTTTAATGAATTTAATCGTGGAAAATCATTCTTTAATTGTTCAGTAACACCTGTTATTACTTTTTCAACAAATTTTTGTGAATCAATTAAATTATTTGAAAATTTTTGTCGATTATATGATGATGATAATGATGAAGATGAACGAGAACTTTCGTTTATTCTGGATTGATTATTTGTTATTAATTGTTCGAAAGAATTATTTTCAACTATTTTATCTGAAGATTTTCCTGTAGATGAACCACTAAAATCAATTGAAAGTAAATCATTTAGTATTTTTGGTGGACTTTTTGGAATTGGTGGTGGTGCTCGAGTTATTATTGGTGGCTCTTTTTTTGTTCCATTTAATTGAAGAACATTTGATACAACTAGAAGTTTTTTAAAAACAAACAAACAAACAAACAATTACTATTGTCATATTAACGATAAATCGACAATAGAAATATGATAAAGACGAATTACTTTCAACATTGTGTACCTTAACAATCTGATAACGGAAAACAGAAGACAAAAGACAAAAGACGGAAGATATTGAATTTTTCATATTATGTTTATAATCAAACGGTGAACAATTTTCGAGTTTTTATCTTAACTTGTTCAATAACATTTAAATTCTAAATATGTACACAATAGTCGAGAGAAAAAACATTATAAACTGAAAAATAATTAATCTTCTTGTTATTTATAAATGCTGAATCGTATATTTTTCCTTCTATATCTGTGTTTATCCCTTTTCCAAAAGTGATAAATTATATATATATATATATATATATATGCATAGTAAAACATTAGACACATACTCAACAATAATCAATAGTAAAATGAAAAACATAATTATTGACAAATTCTTTCACAATGAAAGTGAATTCAATATAATGAAATAATTCTAAAAATATTTTTGAAACATAATGAAAATAAAATTAAGAATTTTAGTTGAAATATACAATTATTATCTGTAGAACGTGAACCATTTATGACAAGATACTTTTCTAATGTATATTTTCAATTTATTCTCTTGAAAAAATTATAAATACAAACTGCAAGAAAATTTGTATTAGCCAAAAATTATTAATAATGTAATAATTGTTCTGTCATCACTTTATACTGAATATTTTCAACAATTCTTCAAATATTTATAAATTAAAATTACTCTAAACATATAAATTAAACCATTCAAAGATTAAATAGGATTACTAACTAACTAAAATCTGTTTTCTATTTTTTGTTATTCAATTAATAAAGTACACAATGATGAAAACAAAATGTATATCTCTAATTTATTTTGTTCTTTAATAATAATAATAAGAAAAAAAAACTCACCTTTTACATTCTCATCTCTTTCATTGCTATCAGCTGGTGTCACTATTGGATTACTTAAAATAGTTCTAAAATAAAATTGTTTAAATATTTATGTAAAAAGAAAATACCAATATAAAATACTCGTCAATTCGATCAATTTTTCCCCATGAAGGTCCTTGTCCTGTTCCATCACTATGACCAGTATGAATAAAACTTCCTTTGACTGGCCAACTTATTTTTTCATTTGTATTTGTTGTTATTGATGAAAGACAAATTCTTGGAAAAAAGCCAACTTTTTGTGTTCGATGATTTTGTCCTTTCCATATTGGTTGATCAACACATGAATCAAAAACACTAATAGTATCGCCACGTAATAATGTTAGTTGATTTATTTGTTTGTTATCACGTGTAACTCTATATTGTATTGGACGACATTGATTTAGACGAGAATTTATTTTACTAAATTTTGGTCGATCATTTGGATTTAATGACCAACATAATAATAAAAGAGAATATATTGATGGAGGACAAATTTCAGGACATTGAAGACGTTCACTACGTTCTTCCAATGCTTTTAAAATCTTTAATAAAGTAATTAGATTTAAAAAAAAAAAAAGAAAAAGAAAAAGAAAACAATATTTATCTATCAAACCTCTTGTACAGAAAGACCAGACCAAGGATTTTCAATACCAAAAGTAAATATTTCCCAAACAGTAACAGCAAACATCCAAACATCAGTTGATGATGAAAATTCTTGTCGACGAAGACTTTCTGGCGCACACCTATATATTAATCATTTAAATAAAATAAACATATAAATATATCGATTATATTCCTATAGGGCATTTAATTGATAATTATTCCGGTAAATTTGTTCTTTCTTTGTTTCTTTCTTCGAGTGTTAATGCTCTTTCTTTGTATGTTTGTCCCGCTAAAACTAATGAGTATCGCTTGATTTGTTTGGATTTACTATACAGATGATCAGTTGTATTCAACATTTGACTCCTAACCTATTGGATATTCTTTTCATCAATCATCATCTCTAGAGAGACTTCGATTACTAAATGTAGACAAAATAAACAAGACATCTTTCTCATGTTATTGTTAAGTTGTTCTATGTTCTTAATGACATTATTCGATCACGTCGGCACAATAAGATAAAAACAAAAAGTTCATGTTTCATCGGAGTCACGTATGTATGAATCTTTCATCTTTTTCTTTTTTTTTTTTGAACATATGTTTTAAATTGAACACAATACTTGTATAACTTGACAGTAATTATGATAAAAAAAAAAAAGAGTTATTTCTTCCAGAATAAATAAAGAATCTATGTGTCAATGTAAACATTGGCATGGAGTTTCGATGCATTTACGTTTGTTCTATAAGACAGGAAGTGACATTTATCTATGATTGCAGGAGAGAAAAAAACCCATGTTGTGAAGTCTATCTTATATAATAAGTGAGAAACGATTGACACAGTTTTATTCTCTTTTTATTCACTATAGAGACAAGACAGGTACATGTCTTGTTTAATCAATGATAATCTTATCCCGCCTACATTTATTTACTACACAATACACATTTATTCTTCTTTAGTTTTTATGATCTGTTTTACCTTCAAAATGAAGAAATTGTAAAACTATCTATGCAAAATATGTTTATCTCAAGAGAGTAAATTTTTCATATATACTCAACAAAAAAAAAAAAAAAAAAAAAAAAAAAAAAAGAAGAATAAATGGG